TTTTTCGTATCCGAACATTGCTTTCGTTCAGAATTTATTCGGACAATTTATAAGCCTAATTCAAGTTTTCAAAAGTAAGACAGTTGATATATGAACCGAAATGCTCGTGCGGCAGTGTCGTCTGTTCTTTATGACCCCGGCTCTGCCAGAACACTTACGTGAGCAGTAAAACGGGATGCAGTTCAGTTTGAGTCTCCTATTATTGGGACAATGAACAGAATAACATCAAATATTATTCTAATGATAGGTTCTTAAACGTACGAGACAGATCAGACAACTAAGATAGATCTTTAAAAATAAATAGTAATGACGACTAACTTTTATTTGTTTGTCTATAAGGTAGACTGTTGGAAAATATTAACCACGTATTTCTTTTGTTATAATTACATGACTTCACGCTTTGGTACATTTTCTACAAAACTGTGACGTAGCGAGCCCCCACTCCTCAATTGTAATGCCACTTTTCTAAGCTAACTCTAACAAGAAGTTTGTTAATTTAAGTAAAAAAAAACGTATCTAATGTTTTAATATTATCTGAGTAACGGAATAAATAGAATTTCTTTTTTTTTACCCAGTCGTCATCCCTATCATGATGGATTGTTGTAAACTATAACTCGAACAGGCTTGCCTATGAGATGTAGACCGTTTATTGTAAGACGAGGACTCTAGTACCAGGTTTAAACCAATATCCTGCCAAAATAGGACAACAGGTCTCAACTTGGCGTTTTCTCTTCTATCATTGTCAAATTTGCAATATTAATGTTCATTTTATGAGAAGTCGGGAAGTTTTTATGCCATTATTGATTTTCACTAGTAACTTGTGGATAGAAAATTAGCGTGGATTTTTTAAGCATTATTCATTACATAAATTTGTTGTTTGTAAAGTATTAAACTTAAATTGATCCCTTTAAAGAGGTTTCAGTATATCATCAGAAGTTAAGCTAGTTATCATGATTTGATCAATATAAATTACGTGCTTACAAAAACCATAACACCTATAGTCAAAGTATTGTAAACGTATATTATTACCCTTTTTCTTCTTCTGATGTGACTTCATGTGTATCCAGCAGTAAACGAAACCTTTTTTGTTGTTAGGAAACTATGCGGTCCGGTCGCCCGATGCTCGCAAAAACTTCACAATGAGCTATTAAGCTTTGGGCTCGTTATGTCGAAGTAAAGGCGCCGACACCTATCTTATATCGACTGAACATGAAGAGCTTCGAACTTTTGGATATGTCGCAAACAACTGATTAAAATAGCCGTTCAATTGGGCGGCTATACCACTAGCTATACTTTGGCGGTTTCTACCACTTGGCTGCGTCAGATGTACAATATTTCGTAGCTCCTCATATTAAGTTAATACGTTTATGAGCGCATGCTTAGTGTTTTTGATTTTTGTTCTAAAGGCTGATTGTCCCCAAAAGCTAATATTGCTGCACAAAAGTAGTTTAGTTTAGGTTTGGTTGTCAACTTGTTACGAGTAACTTTCAATTATGTATGTATGCAAAAAAAAAGTATTCTATTGAGATGATAGATTCAATCAGATTTATGTAGCAGGAAGCCTTGCACAAGAACAGAGGATGGAGGTAGATTAATATGATCTGAAAGTATAAAATGGGGTGGTAGATTGTTAAACTTGTTCACAATAATTGCAAACTGAGATCTGATGTTCTTATTCAGCGGTCTTTGATGTAATAGCTTTACCACCAAGAACACTATGGAAAAAGTAAATTTTCATCATTTAATTTTTCCTTAAACTAAAAATATATCTTTTTCTCAAAATTTTTATTTATTTCTGTTTTATAACTTTTTTGAATATCACTTTTATATTTTTATAAATTTTCGAACTGTCATATCCAAACTCTTTTTTACGTCCGAGTATCGTTAAACTCTAATGGTCAGTGTAGATGCGCTCTTAATATCATCGTTAGTATTCACTCATTATTATAATGACTTTATTGCGTTCTAGAATCTTTTGCTAAGAATAATCGAGTGCTTCTACACTCCATAATTTGCCTTTTTATTTTTATAAACAAAATAATGGCAGGGATGAAAATATTAATAGGTAGTTATTGATTTTGAAATCCTTCTTTCTCAGCAACATTCCAATTATACAAAAGAACATGGATTTCCAGACCATCATATTTATTATGTTTAGTTTTTTTTTATGTTGAGATTCGAATCCGTGGGATATTATTGATGTGCTATTTCTATGTAATAAGCAGAGTGACAAAGACAGAAAAAGTTCCCGCTCCAATCCCTTATTTTAGAAGCGAGTAATAATTAAATTACGTGATTAATTAAAAAGTATACATTCGCATAAATATATATACCATACTAAAATTGGTTTTAAAGTTCAGAATAAGTTAGTCACGATCACAAGTTATATAATTCTTACACGACTTAGATGGATGCATATTAAGCTGTTACGTCCTTGCTTCTAACGTTACTACGAAAGTGGTAGTTATCTTTAAGAAGCAGCTTGCGCACTCTCGCTTAAAGCAATTTCCTTTAGGAAAAGCTCTTTAGTTAATAACTCTCGTATATGCGAGGGAATTATTCGAGATTAAACTATGATGATATTTGATATTTAACTAAACGCCTTTTGAATTCAGGTTCTCTTAATAATAAAGTTTTATTTATTAGAAATTGCCTAAGACAAGAGTAGCTCGGTGGCGTAGTGGATACGCTGCTGTCCGCGATCGGAGCGTTGTTAAGGAACTTTCCCAAGGGTTGGTCACGGGATGGGTGACCGAAAAGTATTATCTCGAGCTACTCGTGCTTCGGAAGGCACATTAAGCCGTTGGTCCCGGCTGCATTTGCAGCCGTTAATACCCAAACCGCGTATGGCAAGCGTGGAAGGTCATGGCTCATCCTCTTTAACCATCTACAAGGAAGGCCTGAGCCCCTGCAGTGGGGACATAAATGGGATGATGATAATAAAGTAAGCAGAGTACCCCATTATCATAAACCTATTAATGTCCTCATTACTGGGGCACAGGCTAATGGGTGCAATCGAATAGGGAGAATGGGCCCTGATTTGCACGTGGACCCAGTGCGGATTTGTGTGTATTAACGACTGCGGATGCAGTAAGGGTAAACGGGTCAATACAGAATGAACACAAATTGGATTTAAAAAGATTTGCCGTATGTCGCGGTCTTCTCGAACTTCTTGAACTTGAGAGTGTGGGCTATAGCCACAAATATTAAATAAATGAACCTAAGTAGTCTTTACCGCTAAAATTTACCTAATTATAAATAAACAAATTAATGTTTCACAAGTGTGTAAAAATAATTTTTCTCTCATGTTGCAAAGTGCGGTGTATTTATTTTACAAACTAATACAGCGAACCGAAGAAAATAAACGACCTATATCTTATATCGAGCATCGCACACAACAAACGTACCTTTTGAAGCAAGGAGTTCCATATAATATACTTTTGGTCACCCATTCTATGACCGGCTTTTGCGAAAGTAACTTAATTTCACACACAATCCGAACGCGCCAACCGCTACGGCATCAAGTCCTCACGACTATCTAAACTCACCACAAAGTTATAAATTAAGAAATGTAATACTTATTTGTTATTGGATCATACAAAGTTTGCAAATGATATATATTTCCATATGCAATTTCGATATTTCATGTAACACTAATAATGTTACAAATTTATTTGACATTAAAGAAATTGAAACGATGGACTTCCATATTTGCACTCTGATCAAGTCAGCAGAGCTTTCATTTATAAACGACACCATAGCTATAATATTTTTTCATATCATCATTCAATTTTAAATCACCTGGACAACGTATTTCATATGAAATTCACAATATTGCCTTCGGATTTTTTATACAACTTCATTATTTTCACATGTATATTTTTTTCAACAAAAGCCGCGATGCTCGATGAAATAAAAACTCGATAAGTTGTGAAATATTGCCGTATTGGAGATGTATTAACAATAGCCGTTAATCCAACTGTGACGGTATCGATAACGGGTTCTGTAGTGACAGTTTCATATATCGATTTACTCTTTTCGGATGAGGGCTCGAACGCGCAACGATTAGCGAGTACGTTAAGCGATGCAAAAGTTCGCAGAGACTGGTTTTAGGATAGGTAACCAAAATATTGTAGGGAGCCTCTGTGCTTCGAAAAGTGCGTCTAGCTGTTGGTTCTAGCTGCATTTGTAGTTGTTAACACCCACTTAATCACACTGGGCATACTTGTGTTATGGAAATCTGTAATAACAAAGAACTGAATACAAAACATAATTCTTACTAACGGTATTATAGTTAAGTTCATTTTCCACATTAACCTGATGTGGAATTCAAATTCAATATCATTTATTCAGTCTAGATTAGTGAAAGTCAGACGCTGTGCCATCGGTTCGCAAATCTACGCCGGCAGAACTTGTGTTGTAACATCAGAAAGAACTCACTCACCAAATCTTTTGGAACTGAAACCAGACTGAGACAAAATTATTTTTATTTATAACATCTTTGAAGTTCAAAATGGATATCCCAATATTCGAGCTCTTTGAATCTGGCGCAATACCTAAAAATAGTGTAATATCAACAAAGGCCTACAGTATGTAGCTTAACATACTGTCTACTGCAAATACATTGCGAACCAAAGTGTGATCAAAATTGTTTCAATTTTCTACTGTGTTCTAATTTTCTTTTAATCATGACTTAATCTGTTGATTTCAATCTTCTATCTTAATTTATTGATTAAATTCGTATGTGCGTAATCAAGCGTGATGTAAACCTATAGCAACCTGGAGTTTTGTCAATACGGCTTTCACTGTCTGCGCTTACTGACACGGAATAGAGCTCCGATGTAAAAATTTTGGCCAGTGTTAATTTTTGCTTCTATGAATTAATTATCGAAAATAAACGACATACTAAAAATGAGTCCAAGATTGTGAATCAAGCAATTATCAATTAATATTGAAAGTAACTTTGTATTAAGACAAATAACTATTACGTTTCAACAATAATGTCGAATAAAACATACGCAGATTTACTATGCGAGACATCAGAACTCATAGTAGAAGCCACACAAGCGGATGAAGCAGTTTTCGAAGCAGGCGCAGCTGAACGTCAAGCGCTGCAGCCGCTACTATCTGAACTGAGGATACGCTACACAGTTCTCCTCGCTAGGTTGGACACGGTGTACGATCAGATGTTACAGCCACAGAAGCGATTGATCGTGAAGAGGCTGCTTGAAGCGTGTATGGGAAGACTGATAGAGATCAAACATGATTTAGTTGAGATCAACATGTCAGATTATACTTATGATGACGATGAAGTAAGATAATTTAAATTTGTTTTATTTAAGAAAATTGTGAAGATTATTGTGCTTTTTAAATTTTGTTTTTTATTTCCTTAGATGATACTCAAACCAAATAAGTGAATATAAAAATATAAATACATTATTTTGGTGGAGGTTCATCTTTATGTTTATATAGAATTTCTAGCTATTTTCCGCCATTTCGCTTGCGTAAATTATTGCCAATATCATCCGCTTATGATGAAACTACACATAGATGAAAGAATTTTTATAATCGGCCCAGTAGTTTCCGAGCCGGAAAGATTTGAAAGATTTGATTATTTATTTGTTTGCATCGAATAGCAAACAAATAAATAATCAAATCTTTCCTCTTTGTAATATTAGTATACATATGTATTTTGATTCTGACGATGTTTCAGAAATAAATTTACTGTCGTTAGATTCCTGTTATATTCGGAAATAATACTTAATGGCATTAAGCTCACTAGTTGTACATTTCTATAAAACTACTCGCTGCGTCATCTTATTTTTACCATTACATAAATTAATTGTAGTCACTGCGGAAACTGGAAGTAACGCCATTTGAGGCAGAACCTATAGTGCCTCAATATTTCATCAGAGAGAGGGAGCAGGAGGTGGAAAGTCGACGACAATTTATCTTAGATACCCTAACAAAGCTTGGATATGAACCTCCGAAACCTCAACCTCTAGTTCTGACAGAACAACAAGCAGTTCTAATTATTCAAAGTCACGAGCGGGCGAGACAAGGACGATTGAGGTATAAGAATATATTTTTATCTTTATCAATCGATAATAAATATTATTCTAATTAATTGTTTCTATTAGCTTTAAGCGCAAATACGAGTAATATATTGATTTGAAAATATAAATCTTGAGTTGTTGTTTCACAGGGGTCAATTTATGAAAGAGATTCGACTTTTAAAAGAGAAAGGTAGGGATCAGAAGGGTGAAATGACTGCGTCTGCTGCGACTGCTATACAGCGAGTGTGGAGAGGTTTTATTGCAAGAAGAGAAACTAGAAGAAGAAAACGGGAAGAACAACTATTGATAGGAATGGAACTACCTCCATATACAGAATCTAAAGAGCTCAAACGGGCTGAAGAGGTATTTTTGAGTAATTTTTAAGTAATTAATAACTGATAGTTAAAACATGTTTGAAGTATAAGTGCCTACAATTATCATAGATTATTGGATTTTGATACTCATTTAAACTACTGATCGACCTACTATCTTCAACTCAAAAATTATATCTTGATATAGTAAAATCCTATAATTTATCAGAGAATTATTCTTATTCTTTCCAGGTAAAAGATTATCGTCGTAAATTGCAAAAAACAAGAGAAGAAGAATACAAAAAAGCATTAGATACAATTGAAGAATCTTTAAGATCCAAAAATGGGACTAAAATAAATGAACAAATAGGTGACGAACTTCGAAGATGGATAACAGAGTACTACGACAGAACTGAACGGCTTCCAGAATTTCCTTCTGAAGAAGGAGGCGGCAGTCGAGCTATGTATAGTAGGCAAGGTAGAAATAAGTACATAACCTAACTTACAGTGTCATTAATTTTATTGTATATCTTTTTATATCAATTGTTTCAATTAAGGCACAGGAATGGATAGTGAATTGAGTAAGATGTCACCAGTATCGTCTAAAGATTCGAAGCGAAGTAAGGAAAGCAAAGATAAAAAGAGTAGTAAGAACGGTGACAATAATAAACCCAAAGAAGAGCCAGAAGACTTAAATATTTATCAATGTACTAGTTCAGTTTACCTGCAAGATATTGTCAATGCTAATGAAGAGTGAGTATATAGTGATGTTTAATGGAGATAAAATGAACCAATTTCTAAAAACAAACTTAAGTAATTTAATTTTTTATTTTGGATATAAAAACGTTGTTATAATGTGAATATTCTTTTACATTTTAGATTTGAAGATATTTGGAAATTTAAAGACGACATCGATAATCCTCACGAGCGCTACTATAAAGATATGATTGAAAGAGAAAAAATAGTGAAGATTGAACAAGAAATAAGGAATATTGTAGACGAGATGATGCGAAATGAGCTAGAGCTTTTACAGGCAGCTTTCAATAGAGATATGGCGTCTAAAGGCAAAAAAGTAAAAAAACAACAGAAAAAAGTACGTATATTCCATTACCTACTACATCATATTAATAAAATAAAAAATCTTGGTTCAGTTTCTTGGTTAAAGTTTAGTTCAAAAAATCAGACGGAACTAACATTTGCGTAAATGTTAGTTCCGTCTTATTTCAGACGATTAGTATAATGAGTGTTTTGGGTAAATACATTAAAGCCAGTGTTTTCAAGGACACAAATTCAAAGTTATTAAAGAAAGCATCTTTTGAAAGGTACGACGTGGTGGTAAGAAAAGTAAAAAGAAGAAAGAAAAAGATTTAACACCAGATAGAACCACAGAGTCTCTTTTCGAAGAGTTAGTATCAAATGGAATCATAAAACCCTACCCTATAGTGAAAATAGACGATTTCATTGGAGAGAAAGGCTATTTAGGTTCTCACTTCAGAAATGAAGGCCAGGACCCATCACCTTGCCTTGGTGATGTGAGGCAATTGATAAAAGAGTATTGTATTTTACCTCTCGGCTCTGAACATGTGCGTACTAATGCTCCTCTAATTAGATCTGTTCTTATATCTGGTAAGTAGTAAAAACTATATTACACCATTGTATTTTTTTACGAATAATATTGAATTTGATAATAAAACTATTTGGAAGTTTTTTTATGAAGAATTTTCGTTTTCATTTAAAATAGGACCATCAGGGAGTGGCAAAAAAATGTTAGTTCACGCTATTTGCAGTGAAACTGGAGCAATGTTGTTTGATTTAACACCCGCTAACATAGTCGGCAAATACCCAGGGAAGTCTGGATTGATCATGTTAATACATTTAGTTATAAAAGTATCAAGACTGCTTCAGCCATCGGTGATATGGATGGATGACGCTGACAGACCATTTGTAAAAAAGATACCTAAGACAGACAAAACTGATCCCAAAAGACTGAAGAAAGATTTAGTGAAAATAATTAAAGGTAATCCTACTTTTACTTTAATGTTTTCTTACAAAAGATATTTAACACTTGAATTGTGAGAGTATTTATAACTTTTTTTCTTTATCAAATTGTTAACCTTTTATAATCAGTGTGAATGATTTTTGTAAGTGTCATCTCTTCTCTTACAACTAGTGAGATTCTTGCTCGTTCTTCTTAGTAGCCAAAAGACGTCCTGAACGAATAATAGGAAAAATATTTTGAACGATTCGAAATTACTTTGTGTAACTTTATTTGAATTTATGTTATTTTAATTATAACTTTCAGTTTAGTTTTGAAAAGGACTGAGCACATAAAATTCACAACAAATAAGAATAACAGAATAAAATTAAAATATTAATTGTTTCCACATTGAAAATGTGTTGTGGTCTGTGATCCATTACCAAATGGAAGGAAGAGTTAGTATCAAATGGAATCATAAAACCAAGGCCAAGATCTAACAGAATAAAATCAAAATATTAATTGGTTCCTCATTGGACCTGTGTTGTGGTCTGTCAATTCTGCTCCTATTATTGCGCAGCCCTAGGAGCTAAAACATAAACCAAATCATGAAAATTATGATTTTCAGGCATTTATCCTGAGGACCGTGTGATATTTGTGGGAACATCAAAAACACCGTGGGAAGCAGAACAGAAGCTGCTTTTTCAGTGCTACAACAAATTCATTCACATACCCAGAGCTGATTACGGCAGTATATCCTTGATGTGGAGAAGTAGACTTCACAAAGCTGGAGCACTATCACCTAGACTCGATCTGTCTTGTTTATCCAGGGTTTCTGATTCTTATACTATAGGTTACAAATTTTTCCGCTTCCTATATTTTATTATTTATTATGTTTAATTTTTAATAATTTATATAATCGAATCAATTTGATTAGAAAATCAGCATTTAATGATATCAAAACATATTCATCTAATGAGCTAATATCTATTTAGTGTAAAACAAAGTCGATTTCCGCTGTCGGTATGCTGTGATCTTTTGAATTACACAATGGATTTTAATACGGCCATAATTTATATATAGAGTGATTAAAGAGGAATGTTTATATGTATAATACTGGACCACGCGGATGAAAACGCTTGCGGAAAGCTAATTTTATTTATCGGCGTCAAGAAGACAATTATACCTAATCATTACATTGTCAATTGGGCCTGTAGGTATGCGAAGTGCGGACGATTTCTATGACTCATTTTCATTGACATATTGACCATTGAAAAGAGACCCTGGAAATTATGAAAAGCATGTGAGCTCTGTAAGTCTTAAGAGGCAGAGCAACTATTGAAACAGTAATGTGACGAGAGCGGCTGTTCGCCGGTTTCAAGATATCACTAGCTATGAGGTCTCAGTTTCGATTCAAGATCAGGTCAATACAGGAATTTAACTTTTCTATATTGTCTCAGATTTCCGTAATACAATTTTTGTAGCCACTCCATTTGGGATTTGAGCAATTTTTATATTTATGTGATAGTTTATCTATATCGGAATATTTTATTAACACACAATTATTACCATTGAGTACGTAAATACGTGTTTGTAATGTAAATCACGTTCCAGGTACTTTATTAGCTGCTTTGAACGACGTTTTAACAACAAAAAGGCGTCTACAGTTGCGTATACGCGCTTTAACAGCGCAAGAAGTCGCAGTCCAGCTGAGCTATAGGGAGCCCGTTTACGCTGAACAGGTATATTTTTTCGTGCTATTTTTTTATCAACAAGGAGATCGACGGCTAAAAATCTTACAAAGGTACCAAATAAAACCTTATAAACACTACTAGACAAGCTAACTAAAATTATGACACATTATGAGCGTGCATAGACGCATTGCCGTCTCGCTTTCTCATAGGCCCTACAGAATGAGAAGTCTCACCGACATAGGCTGTACAGACTCATGCCGAGAAGTCTCACCTAGATCTCACTAGTCTAAAAACCAAAAAAGGAAAAAGAGCCCTATACTATGGTGGATGTTACAAATTCATCCAAATTAAAACAGGCCATTAAATATCAAATTAACACACTAATCAATTAAATACCAGACGTTACGTTCACGTCGCGCTGTACTCAAACAAGAATGTGATGGTGTTCACTTTCTCACTCGGCCCATAACGTCTCTTTGAAGCGGTCTAAAAACCGACAACAACGGAGAACACGCGGCCCCGATAACGAGAAGATGAGAAACATATCACATTCACGTGCCTTTGGTGTTCTCGGGGTTTCTCGGCGTGAGTCTGTGCAAGAAATATAATCACCCGCACCCCGCACGCGTTGATTGTGACCAATGTAAATACGCTAATTACCTAGGGATTACAGGAAAACTAGAAGTCTGTGTCTTTCTCTGGCTCAATCTTCTAGACTGACTCGATTTTGCCTGGTTATTTGATTTATTAATATTTTCACAATGCTACCTACTCCCGTTTTTTTTTGTGGTAACTTTTTCACATTGGCGATCTAATATATTCCAAAATGCATTCAATTTATTTTTCTTAAATAGGATGCTGCGGCTGATGCCTGGTGGTATAAAACGCCGATGGAGAAAAAGCGCCAAAAAATCATGCAGAGGATGCAAGAACTTCAGCAAGAGGCCGAAGAAAAGGCTGCAGCCAAATAGAATAAGAATTAAATATAACACAAGAAAAAATAATCGGGATTTGTGGAATGGCTTGATATATAATAAATAAAAAGTTTTAGAATACAAATCTACGTGTAGTTTTTAAATCCAAAAAACCCTTTTTTTCATATTTACTGTGACTTCATTCCATAGTTTTCCGTAATTATTCGATAGCATTATTATTTTGTCGTCTAAGAGAAGTTGTTAAAATAACCTAAATAAATTTGTGGTGAATTAGTGGTGAAAAATTTAACAAAACCCATAAATGCCTTTGTAAAAATACGTATTTGAGTATTTCAAGATCCAAATTAAGTGCTTGGGCAGGCATTGGGTACCAAAACCATATATAAATTGTGCATTGAACATTAAGAGTGGGCAAGTAGACACACACATGAAGTTCAGTGTGCCTATGATTTGGTCAGAACCAAAAGATCACTTTGAAGACTGCTCTTTTTGTGTAGTGAAATTGCATGGATTAAATTATAAATAATGACGTATCCTACGAAAAAATGTAAATAGCGACACGGAGGTAGAAAAATAAGTCTCCCAAGGTATCGAGCTGATGAATAGAGGTTTATTGATAGATCAGCAATAAATATGAAGCTGTCTATTTGCACACTCCATAAAGTTAAAGGAGCTAAATTTTAGCGTTATTTTTTTTATTCTTAGTTGAAGGGCCTCAAATTAGACAGTTGCTTAAAGACAGATTTTATCAGTTCAAGAAAAATTTTGGAATCAGCGGCTTTTGAATCGTTTGTTGAAGTTGTGAAAAAATATTGGGTAGTGAAAAGGTAAAAAATTACGTGAAATTAGTTGAAGACTTTATAAACAACTTTAAAAAACTTTGCTGTTACACAAATATGAAGTGTTTTACAGTGAAATGGAGAATTTCCCTGAAACAAGCAGAGCGTTTCCACCAGGATATACAACTGATGGAAGATAGGTATCAGAGTCGCTGTTACAAAAAGTATCTATACCATTTGTGGTTGTGAAAATAAAATTAATTTATCTACAAACAACTCATCCGATATTTTTTTTAACTGAAAAGCCATATAATCTTATGAACTATACTACCCATTATTTATTAGATAATTTGCTCGAAATATTATTTCAAATGTTTATAAAGGGGAAAGATTTGAATGCTTGTTCGTTTGGATTGGATAGACTCCGATAGTATTGGACCGATTAATAAAAGTGTTCATCTATGGGAAGCTACTTAATACACGTTAGACATAGGCTATAATTTACGCAGCAAACGGCTAGTTTGATAGAAATTGGTTTACAATTCAAGAAGAAATCGATTAACATACCTACTTTTATATAGAAAATTCACCTTTCGGATTTTTTTATGAATTCCAAAAACGGAAAAACGGAACAAAACGGAAAACGGAACCAAAACTTTTGTTTTAAGCCGAAATGAGCCATGTCTTACCATATCAACTAAATATTTAGGTGATATTTGGTGAAAAGCGTAATTTGTTTTGTTATTAAAGGAAAACTACTAATTCAATAAAATTTAAAATGGGACCACAAAGGTCCATTGAGTTGTCGAATAAAAAAAGAATTTTGAAAACCGGTCTTCAATTGGCGGAAATATACATTGCCGTTGAACATATAACCTCATTTTGGATTTCGGTTGAAGTCGGTAAAAAATTGACAATTATATTTATTTAACTATTCCAAATTTCTGATTTTATCTATACTAATAGTATGAAGAGGAAAGATTCGATTTTTAGTTAGCATCAAATAATCTCTGAAAATTCTGGAACTATTTAAAAAAAAAATTGCTACGGAAAGTTACACCTTATGCACGTGATATAAGCTCAAACTTACTCCGGCGAAATCATGAAAAAACAGTTTCTTACGAGTATCTATAAAAAGATTACAATTTTTATGTCGTTACTTTAAAAAAGAATATTTTTCCAATCTTAAACATTAGTAACATATTATTTTTTAATAAATAAAATACGTATTTATATTTTTGTTCTGTTACATTTGGGAATCACAATATAAAATCTGTTTTTAAAATATAAGTATTGGAGAAAACTACTTAAATTGTGATTATGAATTCTCTATACAAGAGCCAGTAACTCTTAACACCCTTGTGAAATCTTCAAAGTTTAGTGCCCAGACAAGGCGACGACGACACCTGATCCTTCTCACGAGTTTCAAGGGGAGAAATTAAGGCTTAGACCCGATTGGAAAATCATGTTTGAAGATCTTTACATCTCTTACGGAAGGGTTGTTTTCAGATTGAGAGAATCCCGTTTCGAAAAGTTTAAGAGTTAGAATTATTAAAGAGAAAAATATTTAGTTCACAATAACTAGAAAAAAATTGTAAGTTAATAATCTCCTAGTAAAAATAGTACGCTCTTAATTTTAATTTATTCAATAACATCACATACACTTCTCAGATATTAAACAGTTAAAGCTCTTGTGTTATGGAATGAGGAATTATTAAAAAAAGAAAGCACTAAAAAGCACCTCACTAGATTGCGACCCTAGCAAAAGTTGATTTTTGCAGGAAACAATAAAACGATGGACCAAAGACAGTCATTTCCGTTCCTTTTAACTAACATTTTAAAAAACTGAAATTTGCAACGTTCGAAACGTAGACATCAATACAAATACGAAAAAGTACAAATAGAATATGAGTTGTTTATTGAGTTTAGAAAATTTATTTTATTTTAAAATTTATTTAATTTAGGTACTTTGATTTTATAAAATTAATTTCATTTACTATACGTGAAAGAAAACCGGAACCGGAAACGTTGTCATGGAGAAATCAAGAAAGTACCGTAGCGACATCTAGTTTGATTTCGGGAACTATTTTTTTTTAAATATGTTCTCGTTCTAAGATAGTGATGGTACCCTATATAATAAAGAAAATAATTTTTGATAGTTCTACTCTAATCGAGCCCGATACCTGAGCTTTATATTTCTCGTTTTAATAACTTTTTCTTATTTTTGTCAAAGGAATAATAATGAGGGCTTTGTTTTTTCAGAATTTGAAAATAACGTTATTTTTCTACGAATTTTTTATTTTTTATTTATGCAAAAAAAATACTTATAAAAAATTGTGTGATTCAAGTATCTATTAAGTTTTCATATAAAAATCCGGTCATATTTCGTGTTTTGCAGAATCTTAAAAAAAAACATTTAACAACTTTCCTTTTTGCATAAAAAGATCCGCAAAACAAAAAAAAAGGAAGTAAGTATTCACAAAACTTGAATACTTTAAGTAAAACCTTCAAAGAGAAACAAAATCTTAGGTGACGAAAGCACCTGGAACACTCCCACGGGTATTACAATGGTGAAATAAAAGCCAATATCCGAATGAGATTGTGTGCTCGAAGGTACCGATTTGGCGATTTGCTATCGGACTAATGATGATTTGAAAGTATTATAATAAGTGGCAATAATTTATTTATTAATAACTTCTTAACTTGCATTTCTTATAACTACAGAAATTGTATTATAAAAGTGACATGTTATGTATAGTACACGTTTAATAACGTTTTTAGTAAAGACAAATGAAATCTTAACTAAAGGAAAGAAATATAACATATTTTTATGTACACACTATATATGTGCTTTTCATAATGCTTCTGCTAAAAGTACATTAGAAATACAATAGAATTAGATTTCGAATAATTGAATTTAAGAATTGTTTATATAAGAAAAGTCAGCGTCAAACACAGCACAGTTCAAATAAAACCTATTTCAAAAGGTAATAAAGATTTTATATCACTGGACTTCTATGCTGCGACAACGCTTCGCTCGACGTATTTTTTTTTCTGACGAACAGTATTTTTAAAATATTAATAAATATTCTAAGCGCGACACAGACCGACGCGCTCATTTTGTTTACTACCGATAAAACGAGTAAAGGGAACGTAAACTTGAAAACAAATCACGTTGTGTAAAAACGAGTAATAGTATTTTTCAAGCTCACAAAGGGGTAACACAAAGGTTTAATACACTAACATCCTTGCAAACAAGAAAAAACGGAAAATCTGCGCAGTGGGCTTCTACCCTTTGTTGGAGGCAAAGAGTTATTCACTTTAACCCTTTTTGCATGTAGGTTGTACTTTGTGCGTCCTTTTGATCGTATATTTTTCTTATCGTTAACAGTTTTCTGTTTTAAAAGTAATTAAATGTGTTTTCGTTTTGCCTCTTTGCGAAGGCTGCTTAGTTTTCCTTGTGTGTTTTTTAACATTCCGATATAATGAACTATGTTTAAAACAATTTAAAATGTAAGTAAAATAATTTAAGTGCTACATAGTTCATTTTTTTAATGTGAAAAAGCCAAAACATTTTTAATGGCTTCAGTATCATAATTGAAGTAGGTGCAGTTCTTGCGTAGATATTAGTTTATTTTGTTATTCTTAATATCTGATATATCTAAATATTTTTTAATTTTAACAGTCATCCTTCCAATATTGATAAACAAGGTTTAGCGTCAGAGTAAATTTACGATAAAATTGTAATTTTAGTTTTAGTCCAATTTCATATTATACGGAGAATAAGCAAACTTATTACCTTCTAGGTTAACCTTTTTTAAGTTTTAAATACTATGAATTGTGACGAATACTAAGTGCAGCACAGCGTAAAGTTACTCCAACGCTAAACCTTGTTTATTAATATAATAACACTGATGAAGATTTATATTTACTTACAATGTTCCTAACAATTCATTGACTTTCGTTATGCTTTAGGATCATCAAATAATTATTTAAGTGTGACTTCTATTTATTGAAATCATATTTTCATTGAGAGATTTCGCACAAGTACAACATAATACGCTTGTATAATCTAATCAGTCGTCATAACCGGGACATATACATGCATCAGTCGTTAGAACCTTGCCCCTGAGCCTGGTTAAACAACGGAGGTTAAACTGTGGTCACATCGAATATTCATGCGAGGTAAACATGGGTAACTCGCTTTGCTAATTTGCTTTTCGGCTGTCTTGCTTTACTAGGTCGATGCACATTGGAACAGGCATCTCGATCACG